AATTACATACAGCGATAGACTGTGTGAGCGTATAGACAGGCACCAAATGAATGTGCAAATTTTAAGTTGGTGTTTCTGATATATTTAACATGACATGTTGATTTCAACAAGTTGTGCTGTTCTTGAAAATGTCCATTCCTAAGCTAAATGTGGTGCACATTGTATTGTATTTTGTATTGTCAGTGTAATAAAACTCTGTACACTGTAGGAGCATTTCCTACATGGCATATAACACTGATTTACGGTTTACATATAGATGGTTCTTCTGGTTATGCTAATTAGAAACACTCTTCATTGCAAAAATTCAGTTTTTTTCCAGTCAGTCAAATCTATTTTACTACAACTAAAACTGTAAAATTCTAAGATAATTCAATTTAACTTAATCTCAGGAGTGTTAATCAAATGTGTACAATTTAGTGTTAAACAAGTTGGGATTTTAAAAATTTGTGATGATGATGGTTATGATAGAGTTGAAAGATAAGGCTGGCGATTTTCTATAAGTTTCAAATTGTTGACAAATCCTACGAAAGACCAAAAGCAACAATGAATTTACCGTTTAAGAAGTAAATTCTTTAGTAAGTTTCCAAAACCTGATATGACTTATTCCCTTGTGCCATAGAATCCCATTGTTGTTGGTTTGGTTTTGATAGAACTTGCTGACAATATGAACAACATAGAAAATCACCAGCCTCAGAGGTAGCATCTTAGGTAAGAGTGAATTGGAACCCATTTTGAATTTATTTCCTCTTTTGTGAACATTGTAAAACATTTCAAAGAAGATGGAAAATGTTGATTGATGGTGATACAAATCAGTCTTTATAGGTATCCGTTATTTTGAACTCAGGCCGCTGACCAGGTTGGTGGTACTACAGTATAATGTGTTTCATTGGTAATAAATGAACTTTTTCACTGAACCAAAGTAGTTTGATTTGTATTTACTCAACTACACTGTGTGGAAATTGTTGACATAATCAGGTTTAGTAAGTCCATTTAAAATGTTGGTATTACCAAATGCAGTTGTGTAAGGGATGTCCAGCAGTTAAGTTAGATTTACTTAAGTGAGTTAAGTCAGTATATTGAAATATGTTTATGTTGGCATTAATCATCACAGTTAAGTAAAGCCAAAGAAACAGCATTTTGGTGAATTTATGTTGGTCAGTTTAGTTAGCTGGACGCTGACCTATTAATTACTTCCAAGTTGACCAGATAATGTTGGAATTGCCTAAAACATTCATGTTGGTTGCACATAAGTCAGTTATGGGCATCTTAATAATTGAGCACGACCGCGACAGTTTCACAGGAACTAAGCTTGTCGCTGCCGACCACTTCCCCTCACTCTAACAGGGACACTTGCTACTGAACATAGACTGTTTCTGCTGCTCCCTGATAAAAGAAAAATGTTTCTGCTGATACCTGCTCAAAAGAAATTCCAAGAAAACTGATAAAAGGGTAATGCCCTGGCAGTGGCGAATAGCTTAGGTTAATATTTGATTTGATTACATTAATGTTTAAGTTGAGATTTACAAGAAATATTTTATTGCTACCATGTAAAGGGAATACTGCTGGGAAAAAGCACCTTATTTGTTTAAAGTGTTTGCAAATCACATGTTACTGCACTTTTGTGTATATAGCAGTACATTTAAATAAAAAGCAATACACTACTTTACAATTCATTATTCAATTTTGCGCAGAACATTAATGAGAAATCATGCAATTAAATTTTATTATAGCTCAGCTTATAAAGATATTAATGCTCAGGGTGTGACTTTTTGAAATGGCAGAATAGGTTCTGAAATAATATAACTTGCAGCTAAATAACAAAATGCCTTTAGAAAGGTTTATTTGCACATTAAGCATGTGATGCAATTAAAATATAGAAGAAACAATGTGCATTGTCCAGGAAAATGAACTTCACCTAAAAATAAAAAAAAAAACTATAAAATGACCCAAAAATGTGAACTTCATGACACTGTCACATATGTGTTGCCTCAGCAGGGATGATATTACATGAGAAATGCTTATCTACAGGAGAAACAGATCTGAAAGCAACAAAGAATGCCTGAGAGCTGCACTGACTTATAGTCTATTATATTTCTATATTTTGAAATGTCACGTGCCACCTGAACTTTGTGTTTCCTTTTACGTAAATAAAAACATTTTCACCATAAATAAAAACTTTCATCAGAATGTAGGAAATGAAGTGTTTAAAGAACAGACCCACAGCCCCTATGTCTCAGCATTGAGGATATCTTTAAAACACTGTTTAAGGATTTTTTTGTCTCGTTCTCACCTAATATTGCGTATTGTGATGTCTCGCGAGCTAAGTGTCTCTTCACCTCCCTAATCTGAGCCTCTAGCCCCCGACAGTCGACTGGACAGACTGGTGGGCTCAGAGCTGGACTCTCTAGTGACAGTGGCAGAAAGAAGGACCCTGGACAAACTGCTTTCCATACTGGACAACGCCCACCACCCTCTGCACAACACCTTCATCGGGCAGAGGAGTGTGTTCATTGGCAGACTGCTGTCCCAGCCCCGCTCCACCAACAGACTTAAAAACTCTTTCGTCCGCCTGGAAATCAGACTGTACAACAGCTCCTGGTCATGGCAGGGAGGACAATAGACAAAAGAACAATTTCTACCTCCATCTGCACTCCATTTGCACTGTTTACTGTGTTATAAGTTATTCTATTTTAATATAGGTTTAATGGATGTATGTTTCGTATGCTACTGGATACTTAAAAAAAATAATATAATAATAATCTATCTATGTCCACACCACTTTTCAACACAAAGTGACGCCCTTGTTGGAATGGAATATAAATCCATGGAAAATGTAGAACATGTACTATTACATTGTAGGAATATAGGGATGAGAGGATGAGGATAAGTCAGGCAGGAAGGAAGTGGAACCTTGAAGGTTTATTAGGCACAAAAGGAGATTGCAATCTGCCATAAAACAAGAAGAAGAAAAAGAGAAACGGACAAATGGAACGCACCATTAGTCTTGCTGTTCCCCTCTGTCTTTGCTTGTTCCTCAGTGTATTTTGTCTGCAGTTCAAGCATTGACATTATTAAATCTCTGAACAATACATACTCTGCCTCCATTGTCTGCATTTGGGTCTAATCTCCTGCTCCCCTATTTCTTTGAACTAAAACAATTTGTTGCTTGCTGTTGAAATTATCCAGATTTGTCCGACACTGTGTAGAAGCTCAGATGGTCACAGAGAACAGTAAAAGTGTCGTTACTTTTCTGTTTGAATTCAGCTTTCAGTCAGTAATGAAGATCATTGTTCCTTATTTCAATAATACATTTTATTTGGGGGACGCCTTTCAGGACACTCAAGGACATCTTACATACAAAGTAATAAAATTACTTTGAGGTTTAAATGAGGTGCATAATTCAAACAGTATAAGTTTAAAGAAGTCTGAAATAAGAGGACAAAAAATATTTGGCAAGTCAAGGATAAAAAGTCTAAACCATAGGCTTCATGGAAAAGATGTGTTTTTAGGAGTTTTGTGAAAGATGCAACTGAGTCTGCCTGTCGAATATGAGGGGGTAGTTCCAAAGCATGGGTGCCGAGCAGATAAAGGCTTGGGCTCCCATGGTGGACAGGCGGAAAGGAGGGGTGAAAAGGAAACCAGCAGGGGAGGAACGGAGGGAGCATAAACTGGGAGATCATTGAGGAGGGTAGGTTCCAGGTTGTGCAGGGCTTTAAATGTGAGGAGTAGGACCCTGAACTTAATCCGGTATTGAATAGGGAGCCAGTGAAGCTTGAGAAGATTAGGTGATATGTTCCCATGATTTGGTGAAGCTCAGGATTCTTGCTATAGAGTTCTGAACCAGTTGGAGCTGCAGTTGTCTAGACGGGAAGTGACAAAGAGTGACTGGTAAATGATCAAAATTGATAATGAGAATTTGCTTTTGGACAGGTTGGATTAGATTAGAATGATCTCCGTCTTATTGGTATTAAATTGGAGTAGGCTCATGTTCATCGAGCTCTTGGAGGTGGTTGATGATGGAGATGGGAGGCAGGGAGGTGGAGTGTTTGGTAGAGAAGTAGAGCTGGGTGTCATCAGCTTAACACTGGAAACTGATGTTGTCGCGTCGCACGATGAACTCTCCTGCTTTCAGAAACACAGCTTTTCCTGTCTGTGATCTGCCTGCAGTTTGTTATTAACACAAACTCAACACTTCCTGCAGCTCCTTCACAGTAAAAGCCTCCATCAAAGAGAGCTGATTATGTCCTTCACTGTTTTACAGTCACTCTGGCAGCTTAGCTTGAGTTAGTTAGCTTTTAACTGAGCTTAGAAGTGGTCTAAACACACAGCATGTAACAGCGGTGTCACAGGTTCAAGTCCACACGGAGCCTTGTTTGTATGGCATTCTGTTTTCTGTCACACTCTACTGTCAACTATCACATGAAAACAATTCAAAGAATCTAAAAAAGAGAAGTGGTCCAAATCTCCATGGGACCATTTTCTGCCCTTTTCCATCCACTGCTAACTTTTCCATCAGAGCTGCCCGTGGACGTTTGTTCTTCACCTTTAGGAACAATATATGGTGGAGAGAATCTGAGCTCAAAGCTCCACTTACTAATGATTCAAAGCAAAGTGTTCATCAAGGTGAGCAAAGCTGAACTACAAATGCTTTTTCACCACATGTTGCACAATTATGATCTGAAGTGATTCAAGATGCATCTGGTGGATCAGAACAGCTGATCTGAGGAAGAGCCAAACAGCTCAGTGTTTAGAGGACAAATAGGAGAAAATGACCCATCTGAAGCAGATTCTTTCAGATTCTGAATCAAGTCTTTACAGTGACGTCAACGTGAGGGCAAAAATATAGGAACATTTTCTTGAAGTGTAAATTCTGAAATGGAGGTTCAGGTGTTCCATCTTAGTTTGAAACAGTATCTGCACTAACAGTTCTTTTAGCACAACATTTTGTCTTCATCATCATCTTCCATCAGGTCAGTTTACAGTAAAAACAGTTCTCTTACTTTGTGTCTGAGGGTCCAGGTTCAGGACTGAAGTTCACAAGTTCCTCTTTGGACAAGTCACTCTTCATAGACAGACAGCTGGATCCTGCAGACTCTGCTCTCTGTCTGTTGGACTGAACTCTGCAAACACCAAGATGTTTTTATTCAGATCACATGAATCTTTGATATATTCTCTGATGAAGCCATTCAGGAAGCTATAAACACACAAACTGCTGCTGCTGTGGATCATTAGGAGCTTTAAAGTTTTTATTGGGAGGTGATGCACGAATATATGCTCCTAAATACAGCTCCTTAATCAAAAATGATTTTAAATAGGCCTAGTAAAAATTTGGAAAATCAATATGTGGCAGTCTGCGTTGATAATTATCCAAATTATAGGCTAATTATGGGAAACACTACTCTCATTACCACCCGCCTTCACCCACATACAAATCGTCTCTCCCGACTTTTTAACTAACATCATATCCATAACAGCAGCAAGGAGTGTGGTTTTTACAAAGCATATAGCCTAGGCCTAACGTTACTTAACATCACCGTCTGAAATAAAAAATAAAGCAAGTAAATCCCGACTTTTTAACAGCAGTTTTACTGCACATTTAGCCTGTTTGTAAGGGCAGTATTCAGTATTTTTACAAAACGTTGCGTTAACACCACTCTCACTCTCTCCTGATGAGTCCAAGCATCAGTGGCAGCTGCTGCCGGAGTTTCTTTCTGTAGCCTTTGTTTCATGTTGCTGTGCTGCTTCAGCTGCTGAGCTGCAGCACAGTCGTGGATTTACATCAACGATGGTGCGTTCAGTAACGTAGTAACGCAGCATTACTTGCCTTAGTAACTAGTAATAGTATTACCGTTTTAGAAAAGTAATTAGTTACACTACTAGTTACTGGGAAAAGTAATATTATTACTGCCCTACACTGGCTGTCACAGATACTAAGAGGAAGGAGGCACCAATGATTTGTCTTTGTCTGTGGCACAAATGTAGAATAAAGGAATGCAGGCCAGAAAAAATGCAGACATTGTTTATGCAATATGCACATAGCATGGACAGCACCCCCTAAAACCAGGTCTTAGAATAGTGTTAAAATGATAGTGTTTCCACTTTCGTACTGGGATATAGGCTGTATGTGCAGTACACAAGTATTTGTGGTGTTTTTCTCTGTTTATTATCACATGTATTAGTCCATCATTAGATCCCTTGTGATGACACACACACACACTTAACTCATTTATGTATTCATTTTATTTTTACTTTATTTTTATGTTTTATATTTTTATTAATTTTATTATTTTTTAACACAAGCACGATTTTTACTTTTTTATTTACTTTTTTAATGAAATGTATGAAATGAAATGTTCTTATGTAATTAATTTGTAGCTTTGGCAATATTGTTGTTTTACATTAAATTCCTATAAAGCAGATTTGCATTTAATTGAATTGAGAATGAGGTAAGTGTAGATGTGAGGTCTTTGCTCATGAAGCCTAATGTTACTCTACAACTGGCAAACAGCAAACACTGAATGAGTTAGTAGCAGTTCTCTTACTTTGTGTCTGAGGGTCCAGGTTCAGTACTGAAGTTGGAGGTTCTCTTTAGACCCGTCACTCTTCATAGACAGACAGCTGGATCCTGCAGACTCTGCTCTGTCCTCCATCTTCTGGACTTCAGTTCAGGTGTTCTTGTTGTTCCAGCTTAGCTGGTGTGTTGTCTGTGTTCAGGATTAGATTTTGGTCTAAATGGTGACAGGTGGGAAATACAGCCAGTAAATCTGAAATATGTTGTCCAGCTTTATATTGTACAGCTACAGTAACACGGTTCACTCACATTTTACATGTACTGGATGGTGCAGCTAACAGTGTCTCCACTCTGTGTTCCAGCTGGGCAACAAACTCCTCAGCCTGTCTCCCTATAGGCTGTATGTAAGTACAAACACATTAAACACCATGAGGACACAAAGCAGACAACATGAACATCTGGACCATTTACTGACATCTGCAGTGTTTTTACCATCGATACAGTCGATCACTCCCATAGTCCTCACTTTGGACTAATGAGCAGTTTGGAGAAATCCCTGTGAATCAGTTTGGTACATTTGGATATAAAGTAACAGATTCAATCAATAAGTCGTAAACGCAACATGTTTAAAACACAAACGACAACACCGAAAACACATACTGCAGAAATATTCAATAACTCAGATACAGTGTAGTGTTCCCAAAGTCACATTACACATTAATGATATACTGCTGGTTATACTAAAACATTTAGTTTGGAAAAAGGTTTTTGCATAATTTTAGGTAGGCCTATTTTTAATATTCAATATCTACACTGATAAGTTGTCATGTCTACAAAATCACCCCACACATCAGCGGTATCCTGCTGGTGATACTACAACACTCAGTTCATAGAAAATAGATTTGGGGAATTTAATATTCAATAACTTTACTGTTAGAAGCTTTAGTGTCTCCAAAATCACCTCAATGAACAATGGTCTAGTAGTATCATCAACATAAGACCCTTGTTGATTGAGGTGTCTGGAGACAGTACAGCAGGGCTATTTAATTAAAGTTCAAAGAGGTCCAGTTAGAGAAAATTTCACAAAGCAAAAGGTCCGGAACATCAACTTGTGTTATCATTCAGTAGCCTACCATAACGTATAGCCTGGTTGTACCAACATAAGTTTTTACTCAACAACTGTCAGTTTTCACATAAAACTGAAGGGATAATAAATAACTACTCTAATAATAAATTCTAAATTTAAGTAATCTAAAGGCTGCATTTAAAAAACGTTTTGTTGTAAATGTGCATCTTAAAATAAATTTTATTTGTAAAAAAGTGTAGCTTTGAGTGATTGAAGTTCAGTCTGAACCAATTTTATAATAAACACTCAACACATCTTTACAAATGAACAGCTTTAATACCACCTTCTCTTTCAGTCCCTCTTATATAGCTACTAGGGCAGGGCAATAAAACAACGATAAATCTCGCAATATAATTTTCCTCAATAACAATATAACAAATGTTCAATATATTTTCAGTGTTTGATTGAATTAATTTGAATCATGAACAAATTAGCACTTTTTTTTTTATTATAAGATATTTATTTTGTTGAAGAAAAGTGTTTGTCACATTCTGACCATACAGAAAAGTTTAACCATCTGATTTCTTCAATTTTCACTCAGGAGCAAAAATCAGTCTTTAAACTTGAAAGAAATATTGATTTGACATTTATCGTGATAATTATTGATATCTAATGGTATTAAATTTTTATCATGACAACATTTTTGGCCATATCGTCCAGCCCTAATAGCTACCACTTCCCTACTTTCTCTTGTTCAGGGAGAAGCGTGAGCTCTGGCTACGATTGGAGATCTGTGAGATATTCTGGTTTTGAACTGCCCGTGGGGAAGAATATACATGTGAGAATCTGTACATTCTTGGTTAAAAGCCATGTGAAGTCTCTTTTCTCTTTAGTCTCCTCTCTTCCTCTGTGTATCTCACTGGCAGACTTGACTCACAATATCAGAATGCACCGATTTGACTGGCTGAGCAGCATCACATGAGATGATTAGAGAGTTTCCTGTGAGATTCCTTCCTATATCATTAATGTGTAAGGTGATTTTGGGAACACTACACTGTATCTGAGTGAAGTTATTGAATATCTCTGCAGAATGCGTTTTCGGTGTTGCACTTTGCAGACGGTCCCTGCGCAGTGCGCACTCGCCTCAGAGCGGCTGCACGTAGAGGCCAAAGTTATTTGTGCCGCTCGTAGGACGACTCATTTAGGTAAAAAATTTACTTGTAGCTTGATGTCTACATAACTCCAATAGTTAGGAGGCCTCGTTTGTGTTTTAAACACGTTGCGCTTACGAGTGATTGATCCTGGAAGTTCGAATCTGTGAATAGGCCTATATTTCCAACTCAATTCAGCCACCAGGGACTCACCGGGACTTCACTCTGACATTTCTTTCCTCTACAGTCCACAGGGAGAAAACTGCCTCAGAGACTCTGACAGGAAAAGAATCTAAATTTTGGATTAACACTCACCCTGCTTCAGCCTTCAGTTTTCCTCCTGCTGTGTCCACTTAAAATGGAGTCTGAACTCTCTCAGCTTCAGGTTGAACAGGTAGGGCCTGTTCTCACCTGATCACTGCTTAGTGTTGTTCCTTCCCTCTCTAAACTGAAAGCTGTCTGTCTTTAGTAACTGTTCAGCTTAATTTAAAATATGGCACATTATATAAACCCAGCTGGTGGAGACAGAGCAGCCCTCCTCTCTACCAGCAGAAGCAGAGGGAGGAAGAGGAGAAGAGGTGCTGAGTTGATGTCAGGAATATGATTTATTTTACTGACATGTTAGATTTGTTTCTAGTGAGACTTTAGTGACTTTGCTGTTGTAAATCGTGATGCTGCTCTAGAAACAATATTCAATTCATAAAGAATGTTAAATTCTTTTTTTAAATACATGCAGTATTTAGTAATAAATGGGACTGATAAGAGCATCGATAAAGAAATGAACCAATAAGGATTACCAATACAAGTGTGTCAATAAAATCCTAATGACCCCAACGTGAGAAAATGTCTGGCCCATCTCTGTGTCCTGGTTTTAAAATCCGGCCCAATTGAATCTGTAATTGAACAGCCCTGGTCTACAGTAATCATAGTAATATATCTTCCTTGCAACAAAATGAACATTTAACTGAATGCAGCATTGTAGACAATATTTTTGCCTTGTAATCCATGTTTCCTTTGCATGGATCACGATCCTGTCCTGAGGTTGTCTGGGTTATATGATTTTGGCCTATGCCTTCTCTGTGTGTTTGGGTTTTGGTTCCATGTGTTGTGTTATGCTGTTTCGCCTTGTTTATTCTGGTAGGGATTTTTGTGTTGGTTGTCGTTATTTTCTAGTCCTGCGTTCCAGCTCTGAGTCTTAGTTCATGTCTTAGTGTTTACTCCTGGTCTGTGTATTTCTGTGTTGGTTGTTATTTTTGCCCATGTCTGCTCTGTATTCTGTTTTCAGTTCAGTCTGTTTTCCCTGTTATGTTTGTAGGCTATCAGTATGATTAGGTTTTAGTCTGTGTATGTTTCTTCTCTTGAGTCAGTTGCCTGTTCCTTATGTTCAGTTCTGTTCATGTTTGGATCTGTGCCGGCCTAAGTTCTTGTCTAATTCTGTTTCTGTCTGGTGTTGGTTTCAGTGTAAGTGTTATGTCTGGTCCTCCAGAATCCCTCTGCCTGTCTCTCTCTCTGCCGGTCTCCTTAGCCCTGATCCGTCACCTGTGTTGCTGCCGCCCAGCTCGTTCACCCTGTGTATATATGCTTGATTGTTTCCTTCAGTCTTTGTCTGGTCATTGTTGTATGATGTATGTTCTACCAGTTGCTGCATGTTTGATGTTACCAGTTTCCTGTACACGTGAGTTTTGTTCATGCCTGGTGCTCAGCGATGTTGACACGGTAAATTATTATCATAACAATTTAATAAAGAATTGCATCTAAACAGCACTTTTCATACACGACTCGCGGTAACAGTAGCGTACTGGTCCTACCATGCTGGACATATGTATCCCCCTCCACAGATGCACAGATGATGGCCTACTATCAAGTATTTTGATTTGGGTATATTTTACATCATGACTAATAACAGGGTTGAATATGGAGACGTTAGTTGTTTCCTAGCAAAAGTTATATTGAGATAGAAAATACAAACTGGGATCCAGAGAAAGTCTCGTACACTAGAGCTTAAATGGTTCATTGAGCCTTACAAAGAAGGGTTGCATCAAAGAATGTCCTGCAACTTCAGCTAAAGTTAACAGGAATGTTTTTTTGTATAATGTAGTTTAATAAGTAACTGAAAAGATCCTGTTACTGATATAATAACTGTAAAGTACTGTAACATACTAAAACAGCTCCCATTCCCTTTTAAAGCCAGCTGCTCTTGTATCTTGGCGCATTGCTGTTCTAATGCTGGATGAATGGCGCATTATAAAAAGCATCAGCTGACTGATTGAAGTGCAGACTCACAGCAGAGGGGGGATATGGACATCTCTCTCTCTTCCACTGGTTTCTTTATTCTGGCTTTTATTGATGTAGGAATGTTTTCTTTAACCATTTCCTTTCATGGTCAGAGAGGCTGCTGTCAGTCATTTGAAACGTTTCTATGTGCAGTAAAGTCACAGCAAATATCGTGGTGCATTTAAGCAGCAAAACTAAAAGCTGTAGTTCTAAAGTTGCCATGACAGGACAGAGGAAACTCTGCAGAGGAAACAGGATTCAACTTTTAGCTTCTGAAATCATTGAGACGCTCTGATGGAGCTCAGGATTGATCAGGAGGACGGCTGCTTTACTCCAAACACTTTCACTGGATGAACCTGGACTGTGTGTGAGACCTTCAGGATGTGGAGAAGAACACAGAACATGAATTAACATTAGATCCTGACCGATCCTGTCGGCGTGTCGGGAGATTTGAATCACCAATGTCAGTCTCTTCAGAGCATCTTACTATCGGAATAATGCGGCCCTAAAACAAAATCTGTTCAGTGACCTCCACTGACGCTTTTTAACGCAACTATAATGTCTTCCTAAAATCCAGCACGTTACTGCTAATCAACCAACAAGGACCTTAGGTAACGGGATCATGCAGTATGTGTTGCATTGTGGGAAAAGCCATTTGAGCTGATCTGCACATGTGAAGCTGGATCCGTTCTTTTCTTCATCCATCTCCAACTTCCTGTTTTGGCTGAGTCGCACTTTGATTTCTTCCTAAATGCAAAGTCTCTCAGTGATGTTTCCAGTTTGTTTGCAGTGCTGAGTATGTGCACGTCATGAGAGAAGAATTCAGCAGCTAGCTAGAAATTCACACACAACACAAGGCTCATTTTAATGAGTACATATTTAAGTTAATGTGTGGACACATTTAGCTTCTTTTGCCAGTGTATTAATGAAGCACAGCGATAGTCTTGACAGTGGGAACCTTTTCCAGTGTATGGAAGTCACTTCAACAGCTGAAGGAACATTCAGACTTCAGTGCAGCTAGTTATTGGCTGCTAATTCAGCAGTGCACATTCAACATTTAAGGCAGGTCATTTTCAAGAGAATCGTTGGATCAGCAATGAAGTGCTGAATAAGATTTGCTCGGCTGGAACTTTCTGCTTCTTCAAATCTATGTAGGTGTGGTTGTTTTTCTCCAGCTTGTATTAATCCCATTGGCATGAGTCTGCTTGATGACATGTTGATCGTGCAGTGAAGGCCACAGAGCAGAAGCTGTGGCTGGATTAGATCAACTATTGAGTGTTTTGGGCATCATTTAAATCAGACACAGTCTTACAGTCTTCACAGTCTTCCAGCTGCAGTTTGCTGCTTATTGAAGCACAACAGTCAAGTTTGTTTGGCTTGCACTGATGTTTTCTTGTCAGATCTGTGAACATGGGTCTAGCACCTCAGTGGCCTGAGTGAGACATGAAGATTCACAGCAATAGAGCTCATTTAGTGCTGCGCTGTTGTATGCCTGATTGCAAAAGGAGCTTTTAGAAATGTGCAGGTCTGACAGCACATATATAGCCTCCAGAAATCAGAAGGAATGTGTGATTGAGCCCAGAGCGAGTGTGTCAGTGGATCTGATGTGCCATGTTGTTGTTTGTCAGGCGCTTGGTTGGAATAAACCCTGAGAGAGGCACTGCTGTCTTCACAAGTCAGGACTTTTTCTTCCTTTAACATGAACAATTGTTCTTCATGTGCAGTTTCCAGCTTTAGATTTCAATCAAAAGGAAAGTGCAATAAGAAGCTTTGGATTTTTTTCCTCTCACGTTGCAACGACATGATTGAAAAATGAAGGATTTCTGTCTGTTCTTCACTCACAAAGAACGTTTCCATCTGCTTTGTGTGCAAAAAACAGCTAGATAATGTTTTTGAAACAAGTAAATTAACTGTTTGATCCTGTGAAAGTAAGTAAAATAAAGTTTGTGTCCGGGGCGGCAGGGACGACTTTTTACTTCACTCCAATCGATTCAATCGATTAATGGAGAAAATAATCAGCAGATTCATCCAGAATGAAAAGAATCATAAGCTGCACTCTGATACTAAATAGTTCAAATGAGCCTCAAGAATTAGAGCAGGAAAATCCTGCTTTACATTAACGAGGAGGAAGAAGAATCTACTATATAATAGTACAACAGTTACAGGACAGTGAGTACTTTTACTTTGAATACTTTAAACACATTTTCCTGATTATACTCACATACTTTTACTGCAGTAACATTTTCAATGCAGGACTTTTACTTGTAACAGAGTATTTTTACAGTGTGGTATTAGTACTTTTACTAAAGTAAAGGATCTGAATACTTGTCCACCATTGACACACACACACACACACACACACACACACACACAGTAAGTTGAATCCTTATTAAGGGCAGCCTGTTTCTAATGAATGCCATTGTTTAATAAAGAGGAAAGTTTTCCGCTGTATTTTTAAACTCTGTTTGTCATGTCAGCAACCCCTGACAAACACAACCAGACTAATAGAACAAAACATGGAGAAGGACAAGCAGATTATGTTGCTGGAAAAACGGGTGGCTGATCTGGATCAATATACCAGGATGAATGACATCATAGTCACCGGTTTGGAGACCAAACCCCGCTCATATGACGGGCGGTGACCACGCTGAACGGAGGGGAGACGAGCGAGCAGGACGCTCCATCGGTGGAGCAACAGGTGACGGTGTTCCTCCACTCAAAGGGGACTGAGTTGGACAGGGGCCACATTGAGGCTTCTCACCCTCTCTCAAGTAGAAACAAGACGGATAAACCAGCCAGAATCATTCGTTTTGCCAACAGGAAACATCAAAGTGAACTGCTGAAACAGGGAAGACGGCTGAAGGGCCCGGATGTGGATTTGAATGAACACCTGACTAAGAAAAACGCTGACGTCACCAGAAAGGCCCGACTCCTTAGAAGACGGAGAAAATACAATCCACATGGACTGCAAACTGAATGAAAGACCGGAGCGAGCCAAAGAGCAGGACAGCAGCTGGTGATGAGCTGCTGGAATGGATGACAGTAGAAATCTGGATGGAAAGGACAAAAAACATTGTTGTGAGCTGAATATACAGAACTCCTGGATCAAAGATCCAAATCTTTAAAGAGCGGATGGAAAAAATGTTTACAGAAACAGTAAAAGATTCTGTTCATATGTGGAGATTATAACATCGCGCTATTCAATCTAAAAAAGCATCAAATGACAGAAGAGTTCATTAATACTTCTATCCACCAATCAGCAGATCTAGTAGAATCACATCTCACTGTGCCACATTAATAGACAACATTTTCACCAACATGATGGAAAACTATCTAGTTAGTGGGCTATTATACAACGACACTAGTGATCATTGAGCTGTTTCTATTGTCTCTCACTGTAATTATAGGAAACCTGAGGATATTAGTCATCTCAAATCCAAAAGAGGAAGAACAGCAGAAAACAGAAATGCTTTTAATAAAGAATTACTGAAACAAAAGTGGAAAAATAGTTTCTGAGGAAGATGATATTGACAAAGCTTCAAATGGATTTCTAAAGATCACTGTGTGACAGAAACTCTCCTGTAAAACAATCCACACTAAAGCAAACAAATAGTCCAAGGATCACTGAGGGTTCAATAAATGCCTGCAGAAAGAAAAACAGACTTTATAGACTATTCATTAAGTATCGTCCCCCAGAAGCAGAAAATAAAGAGAAAAAGTAGCAGAATATTAACCAAAATTATAAGGAGATGTAAGAAAGTATACTTTAATAAAATATTAGAGAATAATAAATAATATGAAAGGTTTCTGGAATATTCTAAATAGTTTTATTAGAAATGGAACTAAAACTAAAAATACAAGTTACCTGGAATATTATATTGAAAACGAGGAGATAATAAATAAGATGGAAGATGTGGTAAATGGTTTCAACAAATTCTTGGTAAATCTGGCAGAAATAATAAAGTATCCAGAAACAACAGAAGGGTGGAGGCTGATCTTTGGGATAGAAATCCTAGTTCTGTTTTCTTTAGAGCAGTGGAAAGAAACGAGATAATAGACACAGAAGAAAGTGTGAAAGCAAATCCTCCATGGATTGGAATAACACTGAGATGATTATTATAAAAAAGTTAGTGAAGAAGTTGAAGAACCATTTACTCATATCTGTAACGTCTTTTCAATCCGGTGAATTTCCAAATCAAATGAAAACAGCTAAAGTAATAGCATTATATAAAACTGGGGACAGACACCATTTCACAAATTACAGGCCTGTTTCTGTTTCTCCCCCAATTCTCCAAAATCCTGGAAAAGCTTTTTACAGAAAGACTTGGCAGTTTCATGGAAACACACGAGCTTCTAGTTGACAGTCAATCCGGATTCTGGACAGATCAACATCTTTGGCACTAATGGAGCTAACTGAGGAAATCAAAGTACACAGACAAGAAGAAACATGTAGAGGGAATTTTCAACGCTTTAAAGAAATAATCTGAGCCCATAAATCATGACATTTTATTCCATAAACTAGAGAGGGATGGTATCAGAGGGGTTGGGTTGGACTGGCTGAGCAGCTGCTTCAGAAACTGCTGAACACAAATCTACACACATGAACATAAAGTGTGGTGTAGCGCAGGGATCTGTCTCAGGTCCAAAGCTTTTATCATTTAACTCAATGACATATGGAAAGTATCAAACATACTAACATTTATTTTATTTGCTGAGGACACAAATATTTTCTGTTCCGGTGACAATTTACAGCAGCTTTCAGAGGCGATCAGTCCAGAAATGAATCAATCAAAATGCTGCTTTGATGGAAACTAATTGTCATTAAATATAAAGATCATGTTATTTGGAAACATAAAACAAACCCTCAGGTAGAATTGAAAATGGACAACATAAGCATAGAAAGAGTTTATGAAAATCCATTTCTTGGTGTGATCCTAGACACAAAATCTGCTGGAAACCTCACATAAACCAGGTCAAAGCAAAACTGAATAAATCAAGACATATTCAGGACAATAAATCACTGCATCCTCTGTATAATACACTCATGTTACCATATCTGAGTTACTGTGTGGAAATATGGGGAAACAGCTACAAAACCAACCTCCAGCCGTTCTGCACATTGCAAAAGAGCAGAATCATCAATAACGTCGGATATCTGGAAGAGACAAACTCATTCTTCTTAAAGTCACATAAGAACAAGTCTAAAAAGTCTGTGCATCACTATCTGTGGGGGGAGTTTGTGGAATGGTTTGGAGCAGCTGCTAAAACAGCACAGACATTAAAAAGTTGAAACAGTTGTATAAAAAGATGTGAGGATGAAGAGAGGATGAAGAGAGGTGAGTGTGGGTTACTATACTGACTGTAATGGGACGGCTGATTATAGGCTGATGCTTTGTTTGCTGCAGAATGTAAAACAGCTGCTGGGTGTTTATAATGACTGTATATTTGTTATCTTGCTATGAATATATAATATATAATGATAAACACACTGAGTCTGTTTTAGTTCAGTTCATCTCTTAAAACCACCTTAAACCTTCTGTGTTCAGTTTAAGGTGGAATTCTGACTGAAAGTGAGACTTTATGGGGTAAAAGGCTGAATTTGCTCCTTTAAAGATGCAATAATTCATTTGACCACTTGTTGTCAGCAGAAGCAACCTGAAAACACCTGAACACACCTTCACCTGTTCAGGTGAGACGCCACAGTCAAACTAACTTTACTCACATCACAATGAAACTTTACAAGCTGAAAGGAAACTGGAAGAGAAGCTTTTTTTGAATTACAATTCTTTATGTTTTTGATGTTTTATCCCTTTCATGCATGACGTCCACTACAGAGGACAGATATTTGGAAGCCATTTAAGTTGTAGCACCATGTCACATCACATACGATGTCACAATTTACATCTGTCATTTTGAAATTCAAAATATGGGAGGGAAGTGTAGACTCACCAAGTACCTCAGCAATAACTGTAAAATCATTTTAGTCTCAGAAAACTAAAAAACTAATTTCCAACTAAACAGGATGTTAGAAAAACTTTTATCCAGATTTAAATGATGTATTTCTTGACTGAAAATACATCTGTCCACTCCAGTGGACGTTCTGCACCAATATTGAGTTCCACTGAATCACTTTTGATGCCGCTGATGCAGCAGACACATTAAAAATCAAATATATTGGGGAAAAAGATTTATAGGCAGAGTTTTGACTTGTTTAAAAGTAAAAACAAACTGATTTAATAATATGCCTTATCACACAAATCCATTTTCCAGCACATTGATAAGAGTCAGATGGATTTTTGTTGTTTTATTGTGATAATAAACCAAATGTTCAGACATTTACAGAACGCTTTATCAAAATATAGTTTTTACATGGATTTATTCAAAATAAACCACCTGTAGGAGCCACAGTTGGAAGTTTTTGCATCTTCATGTCCTTGATTTGTATTTGCACACTTGATTGGCACTTGGGTGGTGGGTGTGTATCTGGGTGTGTAGGACGCAGTTAGAAGCAGGTGCACTCACCTGTTCACCTCACCTGGCTGCAGTGATCATGGGGGTAGGGTCATTTTAGATCTTTAATGGTGCATGTTGACTTGTCTTGTGCTCCGGCCTTTTCTTTGCACAGACGTATGGAAACAGCTGTTAAGTGGAACTGTTGTGCATCGTTGTGAAATAGAAAATAAACGGATGGTTAGAAATGTGGTGGAGTCTCATCAGTTTTCTCCATGTTCAGCCTCTCACGGCTTGTTTTCCCTTTATCGACAGTCGGCTGCAACACCACTCATCTGTGGGACGGAGCCTTTTATTCTACATATTTCCAGATAAAATGAGAATTATAAAATATATTTTGCTATAAGAAAAATGACTTGGCGTACAGGAAACGTAATTTTGAGAAAACATCTGTTTAAGATTAGTAAAGCAACAACAACACACTGAGCATAAAAATTACATTTTGTCACATGAACTCATCTCTTATAGATATTGGCCATATTTGGACCAGCTAACGTGCGCTAGAAAACAAGCTTCAAACAATATATGACTCAATATGGAGAGTTTGAAGATTGATGTTAACAAGGATCTAAAGTTGACGGACTTCGTATAAAATAAACAAATAATAATGTTTATATATATTATTCAGGATTGTTGTATTTATTATATTTTCTGATTATTCATTTATATATTTATTGGCCATTTTTATAATGTTTTCAAAATGTGTCAGAAACATAACGTGGAAATTAATTGCAATTCTTCATCAATCCACAAGGTGGAGCTGCAACAGAAAGCAAAGCAGAAAAGTCAATTTAAATAATTGTTAATCTGCAGTTCTGTTGTCAGAAACAGAACTAATGTGCAGAGGCTCTTTGGGTTCAGAACATCTGAATGAATTAAACAGACAGAATCAGGTCCAGGTGGAGGTCCAGGTGGAGGAGGTGGCTGAGTGTGCAGCAGAAGGAGTGGAGGAGTCTCAGTGTGTCTGCAGAGACTGTGTAGAAGGACAGAGCAGCAGCAGAGCAGTTCAGATCCACTGATGATACTCTGTCACATCCAGAGGAACACACAGGGAGGATGGTGGACTTGACTTTGTGTCTGACAGTGGAGCTGATCTCAGAGCAGTTCAGACTGCAGCACTGTTGGGATTCCTCTGTCAGTCACTGCTGGATGAAGCTCTCCTCTCCACTCTACCTCCCAGTAACATGGCCCAGTCAGAGCCTCTCCACACACAAGCTGATGCTGCTGCTTCAACCTCTCTGGATCATCAGGACACAGCTGATCCTCTCTCAACACCTCCACCTTTCTCATCACTCACACTCTGACAGAGATCACCTCCAGCTGATGAGAGAAGAAGACAGAGAGCAGAAGTCATAAATCAGAGTTTACAGAGACTCCCTTCATCAGCTGTCAGTCAGTGATGCAGCACATCCAGTATAAAGACCAGCAGGGACTTCAGTCCTGTTCAGAGCAGAAGTGGAGCGGCTGTGTAGCGTAGCCAGCTTCCTTTCAGCTCTCACATTTAAGAGTAGGCTTAAGACTTTCCTCTTTGATAAAGCTTATAGTTAGGGCTGACTCAGGTGAGTCCTGAACCAGACCTTAGTGATGCTGCTATAGGCCTAGACTGCTAGGAGACTTCCCATGATGCACTGAGCTCCTCTCTCCCTCTCCATCTGGATGCATTCTTATCCCATTACTTTGGGCATCAGGTCTGTTTATTCTGCAGGTTTCACTCAAGTACACAGTGGAAATAAAGTGCTGAGAGTCCCTGAACGCATCATGACTGCAGAGACACAGAGATATTCACTGCTCACTGTAATGATGGATTTACTGCTGTTAGGGCTCAAAGCTGTTAAAAACCAGCGGCTCAGTCACATTAGAAGATTTTATATACTTTTGAAATATTACAGGAAAAATCTGTAAATATGGAGTCTGTTCTAATGAAACGGCTGTATGTTTTTCTCTGTGCTGTGTCCATGTTCTTGTCTGTCTTCTAGTTCTGCTGCAGGAGTTCTCCAGCTAATTGCCGTACGAGGTCCACCTGGCCTTGGAAGGTGGTCCTTAAAAGCTGCTGTGCAAGTGTCAGAGGGGAGGCTTCTTGATTTGGGACTGCTGGACCGGCTGCCTCTCAGCTGGGGCATTTTTGTGTTATGTTGTATTTTTCTTAATTTATTGTCTTGTGATGTTAATAAATTCCCTTGATTTGGCTGTTTTAAAAGGTGTTTATTTATGTGAAGTTTGGGTCAGTGTTGGGGTGTTGTTCGCCCCATGTTGCCACCAAAGGGTGGGGCGTAGCACTAAAAACATTTGGACCAAACCAAGAAGCCCGTCACCATTCTCCTCTCACAGCTTCACTGAGGAAAGCAGCTGCTGAGAAGGTTGAAAGTTTACAGGAAATACTGGATCTCTGCTTTGATACTGTGTTTAGTACAATACTGCTGAAACCAGCATGGACTGACTCCAACCCTCTACTGACCTCAGAGTCTCCAGTCTGCAGTGTGGACTCTCCTTCAGATCAGACAGCAGCTTCACTCCTGAATCCTGCAGCTTGTTGTTACTCAGCTCCAGCTCTCTCAGATGGGAGGGGTTGGACTTCAGAGCTGAGGCCAGAGAAGCACAGCTGATCTCTGACAAACTGCAGGAACTCAATCTGAATAAAGAATAAATGATGTAACTTTAGAAGACAATGTTCCTGCTTGAAATCATTCAGTGTTAAATAATCGGTTCAGAGCTGATGAAGGTTTAGAATGTAGAAGTTTTGAAAATGGAATCTCCAAACACCTGAACCCAACAGGATGCAGGTTCAAGCTGTAAAATACAAGAAAGTTCACCTCTAAACCTCTGCAGCTCCACCAGTGGCTCCATCTATACAAACCCGTGTTGTGCAGCCAAACACATAGAAAAACCCACAGAAACTGATTTAAGATTCCACTCAAGATCCCAGAGTTTCCAAAGATGCCAAATATGTCAGGATGAACTTTGGTGAAATGTGAACAATAGACCTCTACAATATTTATTTTGGGAATAGTGGAGTCATCAAATCAAAGCTTCTTCACTTTAAACTATCCAGTCAGTATAAGCATCATATAGCTTCATCACAATGTTGGAAAAAGCAAATACTGAATATATTTGTTATTGTCTGATAGTTGAAATAGAGATTATTTATTTCTTCATTGAATTCATGTCGTTTTATTATCATTTCTTTAAAAACATGATGTGGAATAGAAGCTGAAAATCAGGAGTTGAAAGAGGTTCAGAGTGAATTATCCAGTAGACATTTTTGTTGTTATATTAAGCTTTTAAATGTAGAGCTCAACATTACTCTGCCACAGTCAATGGACTAAACCACAGAGGAAGAAAAGATACTTTAGCATTAAGATACTCAGTGTGGATCAGTATAATATCAGCCTTATGTCTGCACTTATCCCCACAAATTTCACATCATATTAATCTCAGCACAGAAGGAAAAAATGGTGTCTGACCTCAGAGTCTCCAGTCTGCAGTGTGGACTCTCCAGAAAACCACACAGCAGCTTCACTCCTGAATCCTGCAGCTCGTTGTTGTAGCTCAGCTCCAGCTCTCTCAGATGGGAGGGGTTGGACTTCAGAGCTGAGGCCAGAGAGCTGATCTCTGACAAACTGCAGCTGTCCAATCTGAAAAAAGAATAAATGGTGGAGATAAAAATCCATTTCTAATCCAATCAGATGTGTTCAGGTTTTAAATGTGGAGCTCAACATTACTATGTCCTAATCAATGAGCTTTTCCCTAAAATCAGTAGAGGGTCTTTGTCATTGTGTTTTTGTGGATCATCATAATGTCAGCCTTCTACAGACATCATCCAAATGTCAGCACAACATTCATACACCTATTCATGTCAACACAGATCAATAACATGCTGCTGATCTCAGGCTAGTGTGTGTTCTGAAAAATGAATATCAGTGATCAGAAATTCTTTGTGAAAACACATTGAAACCAACAGAAAGCAAAGACATTTCTCCACCAACAAGTAAACTTGATCAGTTTAAAACAAATATTAGTTCAGAGGATCTTCTATATACAGATGTGACCATTTACCAAAAATTAGAAACATTCATTTACTTTAACGACTAACAGTGGACATTTTCTACAGTTTCTTTAAGAAACACAAGTCTTTGTGACTGCAGACTAAATTTAGTACAAGAAACATGAAAATATGAACAAAAGGAAATTACAACTTTATGGATGGAAGTCATATATGAACAGAAATAAGGTCAATTGTTAATTAAACGTATCAGATCTACAATAGTAACAGAGAGTCAGTGAACTGACCTCAGAGTCTCCAGTCTGCAGTGTGGACTCTCCAGAAAACCACACAGCAGCTTCACTCCTGAATCCTGCAGCTTGTTGTCACTCAGGTCCAGCTCTCTCAGATGGGAGGGGTTGGACTTCAGAGCTGAGGCCAGAGAATCACAGCTGATCTCTGATAAACTGCAGCCCCTCAATCTGAATAAAGAATAAATGGTGGAGATAAAAACATTTCTAATCCAATCAGATGTGTTCAGGTTTTAAATGTGGAGCTCAACATTACTATGTCCTAATCAATGAGCTTTTCCCTAAAATCAGTAGAGGGACTTTGTCATTGTGTTATTGTGGATCATCATAATGTCAGCCTTCTACAGACATCATCCAAATGTCAGCACAACATTCATACACCTATTCATGTCAACACAGATCAATAACATGCTGCTGATCTCAGGCCAGTCTGTGTTTGTGTGTGTGTGTGTTTGTGTGTGTGTGTGTGTGTGTGTGTGTGTGTGTGTGTGTGTGTGTGTGTGTGTGTTCGTGTTCTGAAGGATCAATATCAGTGATCAGAAATTCTTTGTGAAAACACATTGAAACCAACAGAAAGCAAAGAAATATTTCTACTTCAACAAGTAAACTTGATCAGTTTAAAACAAATATTAGTTCAGAGGATCTTCTATATACAGATGTGACCATTTACCAAAAATTTGAAACATTAATTTACTTTAATGACTAACAGCGGACATTTTCTACAGTTTCTTTAAGACACACAAGTCTTTGTGACTGCAGACTAAATTTAGTACAACAAACATGAAACTATGAACAAAAAGGACATTTACAACCTTACGGATAGAAGTTATGTATGAACAGAAATTAGGTTCAATTGTTAATAAAAACATATCAGATCTACAATAGTAACAGAGAGTCAGTGAACTGACCTCAGAGTCTCCAGTCTGCAGTGTGGACTCTCCAGAAAACCACACAAACCACACATACACACTCCTGAATCCTGCAGCTTGTTGTTACTCAGCTCCAGCTCTCTCAGATGGGAGGGGTTCGACTTCAGAGCTGAGGCCAGAGAAGCACAGCTGATCTCTGACAAGCTGCAGCCCCACAATCTAAATAAAGAAAATGATGTAACTTTAGAAGCCAAAGTTCCTGCTTGAAATCATCAAGTGTTTAATAATTTGTTCAGAGGTGAAGAAGGTTTAGAATGTAGAAGTTTAGAAAATGGAAACTCCAAACACCTGAACCCAACAGGGTCCATGTACGTTCTGATAGTTTGTTTTTTCGTTTGAACCACAAAATGAACCATCGAGAAAACCACCTTTAAAAAAAAAAAAAAAAAAAAAAAAAAAAGAGTCGTTCTCCCGTTTGGTTTCTAAATCCAAAAATGAAAAAGACTAATCCAATTTCAAATAACGCCCCGATTGTTTTTTTGAAATATCTTTTTTCATTTCTCCGTTTGAAGAGCTACATTAAAAGCAAGACAGGTAGGCCAGGTGAGCCGGAAGTAACAGTAAATATAGCCAATTAAAATAGAAGCCAAGCTTGTAGAACGGTCATAACATTATGCAGCACTAACTTTATATCAGGGTGATGTTAGATGGAAAATAAATAAAGTTGGACCGAGAGAAATACGTTAGCAACAGCAGTTGATTACATGCACTATAATATTGTGTATTTATTCATTTAAACAGCAAGAGTCACGTTTTTTTTTTTAAGCGTTTAAGCACATTGATTGGTGCAGTACAGTTTGTAGGCTAATATAGGTTAACCTAAGAAATGATTGTTGATGCAGAGTTGTTACTGTTAGCGCTATATTTTTTAAATAAAATTTATATTTAATGTGGTTTCCACCGTAATGGACCAAGCTGTTCCCCCTTTCTACCAGCAGGTGGCAGTATTTTAATGAAGGTCTGTATTGTGCCTTTGGTAACTGTTTTAAATCCAGGTTACTGATACAGGTGTATTTATTGTTGTTCAATTCATTTGGTTTTTGATATCTTTGTCTTATTTGCAGCCTAGTTATCATCTTCATCATTCACTCTCAGCCAAGTGTTAAACCTGCATGCACTTCTGTTCAAACCTGGTTCAAACACTGCTGTCAGCTTCTTAGCCGCTCTGACAACAAACTCACATCAGAAATGTCTTAATGTAGGCCATCTGGCCAAAAGAATGCTTTACCAGTGTACTGTATACTGTGAGAATCTTTCTTCTCCATACACATTCCACGGTGTATAACATACAACACTCTCATTGTGTCATGCAAGTGAAGAGAATCCATCTTCCGTCTTAAACATTAATTCAACATATATAGCATATACTTTACAGAAGTACATGCAGGTTTAACTCTGGGCTGAGAGTGAATGATGAAGATGATAACTAGGCTGCAAATGAGACAAATATATAAAAATCAAATGAAAGGAACAATATACATACATCTGTATCAGTAACCTGGATTTAAACAGTTATCAAAGACACAATACAGGCAGTCATTTAAATACTGCCATCTGCTGGTAGAAAGGGGAAACAGTTTGGTCCATTACGGTGGAAACCACATTAAATATTCATTTAATTATATAAGGTAGCGCTAACAGTAACAACTCTGCACACACAATAAGTTCTTAGGTTAACCTGTATTACCAACTGTATTGAACCAAACAATGTGCTCATTAAACGTAACTGGTGATGTGTATATTAAATCACGTTAATAACTACTGCTGCTAACATAATTCTCTCGGTCCAGCTTTATATAGGCCTATTTACTGATTGATTTTTTTTTTCTTCTAACATCACCCTGGTACAACGTTCATGCTGCATAATGTAATGACCGTTCTAAAAGTTTGGCTTTTATTTTAATTGGCTATATTTACTATTACTTCTGGGTCACCTGGCCCACCTGTCTTGCTTTTAATGTCGGGCCGTTATTTTAATTTGGTTTGGTCGTTATTGGATTCAGAAAACAAAAATGGGACAACGGCTCTTTTTTCCCGTTTCTTCATTTTAGGTTTGAAATGACAAACGTGGTTTTTCCCGTTGGTTCATTTTGTGGTTAAAAATAAAAAAAACTATCAGAACGTACACAGGATGCAGGTTCAAATTATAAAATACAAAAAAGGTAAAAAGAACTCATTAATATTAATGACAACGTGCTGCTACTTCAATAAAGATGTAGTAACTTCACCTCTTAAACTCTGCAGCTCCACCAGTGGCTCCATCTATACAAACTCATGTTGTGCAGCCAAACACAGAAAAACCCACAGAAACTGATTTAAGATTCCGCTCAAGATCCCAAAGTTTCCAAAGATGCCAAATATGTCAGGATGAACTTTGGGGAAATGTGAACAAAAGACATCTACAATATTTCTTTTAGGAATAGTGGAGTCATCAAATCAAAGCTTCTTTACTTTAAACTATTCAGTCAGTATAAGCATCATATAGCTTCATAAGAATGTTGGAAAAAGCAAATACTGAATATTTGTTATTGTCTGATAGTTAAATCCGTCAGCCCCCCCCATCAGGGCATTCATGGATGATCGGACAGTAACAACTGTAACAGTCCCAGGATGCAGATGGATTCTGCAGGGCTTAGAGAGGTTAACCACCTGGGCGAGGATGCGTTTCAAGCCGGAAAAATCCAGATCCATGGTACTGAAAAGAGGGAAGGTAACAGACCAGTTCCACTTCTCCCTAGGAAATACCCAAATCCCATCAGTCACAGAGAAGCCTGTGAAGAGCCTTGGGAAAACCTTTGACTACTCTCTAAAGGATGCCGCTTCCATCAGGGCAACAAATGAACAACTGGAGAGCTGGCTCACTACAGTTGTAAAGTCAGGCCTACTGGGAAAATTCAAAGCTTGGTTATACCAACATGGAATCCTACCTAGGATATTGTGGCCATTGTTGGTGTACAAATTTCCAATTTCCACCATGGAAGGATTTGAGAGGAGGGTGAGCAATTACCTTCGACGTTGGCTGGGCTTGCCAAGAAGTCTGAGCAGCATCGCCCTTTACAGCAAAAAGAACAAGCTAATGCTACCAATCAACAGCCTTAGCGAGGAGTTCATGGTTACCAGAGCAAGGGAGGTGCTTCAGTACAGAGATTCCAAGGGCCCAAGAGTATCTCAAGCTCAAACTGAGGTCAGGACTGGCAGAAAGTGGAGGGCACATGAGGCGGTGGGCCAGGCACAATCACGGCTGCGTCATAAGGAACTGGTGGGTCCCGTGGCTATTGGCCGTACAGGAATGAGTGGTATTCCAACAAGCCATTACAACAGACTGAAGGGTAAGGAAAGGCGGGACTTGGTCCAAAAAGAAGTGAAGGCTGGGATCGAGGAGCGGTGTGCAAGCCAGATGGTGGGAATGAGGCAACAGGGTGCATGGACAAGATGGGAAGATGCCATGGAGAGGATTATTTCATGGGCAGAGCTGTGAAGGGCTGAGCCCTATTGCATCAAATTTCTCAGTCAGTCTGTCTATGACACTGCCCAGTCAATCCAATCTCTTTTGTTGGGGCAAGGTTGAGACACCGGCATGAACCCTGTGCCAGGGAAAAGGATCGCTGGAACACATCCTCAGCAGCTGTCCTAAAGCACTTGGGGAAGGCCGCTACCGTTGGTGCCACAACCAAGTGCTGAAGGTCGTTGCTGAGTCCATCACCAATGCCATCAAACAGAGCATGCGTTCACAACCAAGGCGGAAAATCTCTTTCTTAAGAGCAGGGGAACTCACGCCTTCCCTACCAACAGTTCAGACAGGCCTGCTGGGAATAGCGAATGACTGGCAGCTAAGGGTGGACCTGGGAAAGCAACTCAAGTTCCCCTGAGACATTATGGAGACCAGCCTTAGACCCGACATGGTTCTGTTCTCAGTAACATCGAGGGGGCTTTGCAGAAAAGTCACTCTGCAGGTCCTACAGCCTCCTGGGAATCACAGGAGAACGCAAGAGAAGAGCCATTAGCGCAGCTTCAGAGGCTGCGGAAAAAGCCTCATGTTGGCTGTGGATCAGGAGGGACAAACGGTGGGCGAACACTTGGACACAGGCCGGGAACTCATCACTCCCGGTCGGGTCACCTGGGTGAGGGGGTCTAAAGTTGAAAGACCCGAACACCCCCTATGATCCCAGGGACTATCACTGATGATGTGTCCAAGAGTTCATCACAAGGTGTATGATACAATCTAGATTATTCAATTCTTCATTGAATTCATGTTTTATTCTCATTTCTTTAAAAACATGATGTGGAATAGAAGCTGAAAATAAGGAGTTTGAGAGGTTCAGAGTGAATTATCCAGCGGAGATTTTTGTTATATTAAGCTTTTAAATGTGGAGCTCAACATTGCTCTGCCACAGTCAATGGACTAAACTACTGAAGAAGAAAAGATACTTTAGCATTAAGATCCTCAGTGTGGATCAGTATAATATCAGCCTTATGTCTGCACTTTATTGTCACCACAACTTTCACATCATATTAATCTCAGAACAGAAGGAAAAAATGGTGTCTGACCTCAGAGTCTCCAGTCTACATTGTGGACTCTCCAGAAAACCACACAGCAGCTTCACTCCTGAATCCTGCAGCCTGTTGTTACTCAGGTCCAGCTCTCTCAGATGGGAGGGGTTGGATTTCAGAGCTGAGGCCAGAGATGCACAGCTGATCTCTGACAAACTGCAGCCCCTCAATCTGAATAAAGAATAAATGATGGAGATAAAAATCCATTTCTATTCCAATCAGATGTGTTCAGGTTTTGAACGTGGAGCTCAACATTACTATGTCCTAATCAATGAGCTTTTCCCCTAAAATGAGTAGAGGGACTTTGTCATTGTGTTATTGTGGATCATCATAATGTCAGCCTTCTACAGACATCATCCAAATGTCAGCACAACATTCATACACCTATTCATGTCAACACAGATCAATAACATGCTGCTGATCTCAGGCCAGTCTGTGTGTGTGTGTGTGTGTGTGTGTGTGTGTGTGTGTGTGTGTGTGTGTGTGTGTGTGTTCTGAAGGTTCAATATCAGTGATCAGAAATTCTTTGTGAAAACACATTGAAACCAACAGAAAGCAAAGAAATATTTCTACTTCAACAAGTAAACTTGATCAGTTTAAAACAAATATTAGTTCAGAAGATCTTCTATATACAGATGTGACCATTTACCAAAAATTAGAAACATTAATTTACTTTAACAACTAACAACAGACATTTTCTACAGTTTCTTTAACCCGCGCTCCCATAGGTTTGCGTGTGTCTGTTTAAGAGCCAATAGAATGGTAACCACGTGGGTTACAACAATAATTCTTTTTGGATAGAAATTTAGAGAAGGATTGTATTGATGTATGGCATATGAACTGCTCCAAAGATTGACAGTACAGCATGAAAATAATACTTAGATATGCTCTGGTGGAATTGTTCTATGGCAGGTCATAAAGGGTTAAGAAAAAAGTCTTTGTGACTGCAGACTAAATTTAGTACAAGAAATATGAAAATATGAACAAAAAGGACATTTACAACTTTATGGATAGAAGTATGAACAGAAATTAGCTTCAATTGTTAATAAAAACATATCAGATCTACAATAGTAACAGAGAGTCAGTGAACTGACCTCAGAGTCTCCAGTCTGCAGTGTGGACTCTCCAGAAAACCACACAGCAGCTTCACTCCTGAATCCTGCAGCTTGTTGTTACTCAGGTCCAGCTCTCTCAGATGGGAGGGGTTGGACTTCAGAGCTGAGGCCAGAGAAGCACAGCTGATCTCTGACAAACTGCAGCCCCTCAATCTGAATAAAGAATAAATTAAAATTAAAATCCATTTCTAATCCAATTAGATGTGTTCAGGTTTTAAATGTGGAGCTCAACATTACTATGTTCTAATCAACAAGCTTTTCCCTAAAATGAGTAGAGGGTCTTTGTCATTGTGTTATTGTGGATCATCATAATATCAGCCTTCTACAGACATCATCCAAATGTCAGCACAACATTCATACACCTATTCATGTCAACACAGATATAACATGCCGCTGATCTCAGGCCAGTCTGTGTGTGTGTGTTCTGAAGGATAAAATCGGTGATCTGAAATTCTGACCATTTAGCTTCATCCTCAGTCATCTTTAGAACTGGATCAACATGAATCTAGTTTGAGTTCAGACTAAATTCAGAGCCAAACTCTTCAGACTGACCAATCTTTAAAAAGAGCTGTTGTGATTTTTGCTCAGACAAACCCAGTAAATCAGGATCAGAATCGGGTTTATTGCCAGGTACATTTTAACATACGAGGAATTTGCCTTGGTATGAATTGGTGCTTACAGTACACATAACATAAATAGTAAAAATTACAAGTATACAAAAAATATAAAAAGATACACTAATACTATAATACAATGCTGACGAGTATGTGCAAAAGTTGGCAACATGAGTATAAAGCACAGTTGAGCGTTGTTGTAAGTGTGGGGTCAGGAGAGTATATGAGTGTGTGCGAGTTTGGGGAGGGGGCATGAAACTGTTCTTGTGGCGAGAGGTTTTGGTCCTGATGGACCGCAGCCTCCTGCCAGAGGGGAGAGTCTGAAACAGTTTGTGTCCAGGGTGGGAGAACTGAAGAAAATTTAATACTTCTGTTTTGGATTTAAATTTGGTAGATATACACTGTACAAGAGCAGAATACATGAACTGACCTCAGAGTCTCCAGTCTACAGTTTAGACTCTCCAGTCCAGCAGACAGTGGCTTCACTTTTGAATCTTGCAGGTAGTTTTTACTCAGGTCCAGCTCTCTCAGATGGGAGGGGTTGGACTTCAGAGCTGAGGCCATGACTTCACAGTGAGTCTCTGAGAGTCCACAGTCACAAAGTCTGTGACGACAGAGAATATAAATATAAAAAAACAATAAAATCTGACACTTTATTCTAAAAATAGACATCACAAAGCATGTTAACATGAGCGGCTCCAGTTCAGCTGCTCAGCCATTGATCACAAGGTTTGTGGCTTGAAACTTGAGCTCCTGTCAACATGTCTAAGTGTCCTTAAGCAACATAATGAACCACAAGCTTTGGAGCGCTGTGTGCTGTGATTTGTGTTTGTTAAACTTTATTTTAACGTGATGTTCACTGAGCTGTATAATCACTGCAGGTTGGAACTGCACTCGTATGGATTTACCGCAGTCATGTGCTTGTGTGTGTTTTGTGCATCTTTGATGCATCTTATGTCACTCCATCTGCTTTTCATCTAACATTAAATTAATTTAATGAATCCTGTTGCATTGATAGTATAATTAGTACTAAAGACTGTATTATTACCATTCTATTGGTAATAGTTTTTCTCAAGTGGAGTTCAGCTGTTTAACGTTTCTTCTCTGAGCTTGGTGATGATAAAATCCCTCCACTGAACTGAACCTGCTGAGCTCTCCTTCACTGGCAGAATGAACCTGGAGGCCGTCCCAGCAGCTGACTGTGTAATGAGCTGCTGTCTGAGGAAACCAGCTGCTAAATACACAAAGACTGTGTGCTGCAAATTCAATGAAAGCCACAGTGGAAATGTGTGTGTTACAGGTACCGCACAGCAGCACCCAGAAACTGTTGGATTTGTCCTGAAATACAGGAAAGAATGATGAGACAGGGAGACGTGGCCTGTCGCTGCTGAAATCTCCTCATTTATGAGGAAAACCAGCGGAACATGCGCTCTTGATTACAGTGCCTGGGTAAACCACAGTGTCACAGCGCCACCTACTGTCCACAAACTGCTGCAGCAGATTTAACATTTTGGTTTCCAAACGATATTACTCATATAAAAGAAAGTCATTTTCAAAAAGGAAACATACAGATATAGTCTCAAATTATGAAACACCATCAAATCTAATAATTCCATTTACACACTCTTCAAGAAGGAGGATTGCCTCCCCTCACATCCTCTCAAATCAAACAATAATTAGAGATATTGTATAAAAGTGTGAAAATGGACAGAACAGTCTTTCATATGAAATAGCTCCCAAACTGCAGAGATAAAATAGAAGAGCAATAACTGCATGAAAGCTTCAAGTGCCGTTAGCTCCAGCAGATCACAGATACAACATGTCTGTGTGTCTGTATAGAAGAAGAACAAGAAACAGACACAGTATAGAAACAGAGTGCAGACACTGGATCAGTGGAAAAATAAAAAGACTGCTGGGATAAAATGATGACTGTCAAAACATTTTCAGCACAAACTCTTAATCCTCATGTTTTCCTGCTGGATTTGTATCAAGCCTCCATCACCCAAAGAAAGATAGAAGATGATAGATGAAGATACTTGTGTCACTAACTTGATGGATAGAAACACAGAAATTATGTTTGGAGACATTTGGAGTTTAACACATGTAGAATTATTTCAATAAGCAGCTTTAAAGAGGTGGCATTATGCTCATTTTCAGGTTCAAAATCTTACTTAGGGGTTGTACCAGAACAGGTTTACATGGTTTAATTTTCAAAAAACACCATATTTTTCTCATACTGCACATTGCTGCAGCTCCTCTTTTCACCCTGTGTGTTGTACGCTCCGCTCTTGAGCTACAGAGTGATGCATCTTACTTGTACAAAATCTTTGTTGGGAGGTGCCCGTGCGCAGTTCCCAGGTAAGAACTACTAGCCAATCAGAAGCAGAGAAGGGCGGGTCGTAAGGAACAAGGTAGTGTGATCCAAATCAAAGCCGCTTCAGACTGAAGACCGTAACCTAGCAGATGGTATAAATTATTACCAGTCCACAACCACATAATATTCTTCCACATCTTACCATCAGGACTAAACATTGAACTTTTGCCGGTGTTCTGATGATCTTTACTGCCTTGCCGAAAAATGCTACCATAGTGCAAATCGATAGACTGACTCTACTCAGCCCTGCTCCGTTTTCCATTGCAGATAGTACCCACAGATAGTACGTAGTTTGTTGACATAGTGACGCCACACACAACTGCTGCGACGTAATGTTCAATGCGACACACACACCAGCGATCCACACAACTTTCTCTTTTTTAAGTTAAAACGTTTCAACATTCCTCAGAATGTAAAGACAGATAAGCGGTATGAAAACCTTCCAGCTGTGTTTTCCTCTGTTGTTGTTGCTGCAGCGGTCTGTGTGACGGCGGGAGCAGAGGGCTCTGTGAGCGGGCGGCTGGCCGGCCTCACGCTCCTCCCGCGGGTTGGCACAGGCTTCCCCCACAGCCACTCACGGAGCTCTTCAACTCATTATTAAATATTCAAGCATATTTTTGTCGAGCCAAAGGACCTCCGCTCAGACTAGCTTGGTTTGAGGGCGTGCCTGACCCCGTTAGCCGCTTGGCAAGCTTTATGACATTGTGATGTCACAAGTAAAGGAAGTGAAGGGCTGGACTACAAACGAGCTGTTTTCAGTTCAGAGCAGAGTTTTCTGTGGGAGATGGGAACTCCCTTTGGGCTTTTTCACTTTGCAAACCTGTTACATGCACAGAAAAAATATATAACTCAATAAAAGGAGAGGGGAAAAGCCAAAAGCATAATACTGAGGACATAATATTGAGGACAACTAGAATAGTTTCCGTATATAGCTGCATTGTACCCTTTTGCTATTCAGCATTTGGGCAGGCAGCCTTTTCTATCAAAGCTGTGAAACAATGGAACACAATTTCAGATGATATAAAACTTGTGACTTGTTTGGGGCCTTTAAAGATAACTTAAAAAAAACATCTAAAACTTTCACAACAATGCACCCACTATTTTGTCAGTGGGTAATATAATTTTTTCCTTCACTCACATTCACCTTCTTATTGTAGGGTTGACGTAAGGGTTGAGAAGGGGTTGGGTGTTGGCGTACCATTGTATGTTGTGATTGTGTGTGTGTGTGTGTGTGTGTGTGTGCGCCAGTGAAGGGCATTAAGTACATGGTATATGCTCTTAAACAATGTCTGATGTTTTATGTTTGATATGTCGTGTATTTTTGAATAATGTTGATATTTATATTGTATGTATTTGTATTTATTTGTATTTGGGGACTGCAGATGTAAATTAGCCTAAGGCTAACTCTGGTGTAATGCATCAAATGTTTACATTTATGTTATTAATTGCACATGGTCCCTTCTAAATAAAAATCAATCAATCAATCATAATACCACCTCTTTAATACTAGTTTAGGAAACTTTTATAGTGTGGAGGTTTTATATTGAGCGTGTGTGTAAAGTGTGTATCTTTACTGTAATACTGATGCTTCAGCTTTACGTTGCTTTACAGTGTTGATAATCACATCTGGACTTACCGAAACTTTCTGCAGTTCCTCACAGCTGGAATTAGTCTCCGTCGTCCCTCCAATGATGTGTTGTACTTCTGCAGGTCAAACTCATCCAGAACCTCCTCTGACATCTGCAGCATGTAGGCCAGAGCTGAGCAGTGGATCTCAGGGAGTTTCTTCTCTGATCTGTTCTCTGACTTCAGAAACTCTTGGATCTCCTGATGTACTGAGTGGTCGTTCATCTCCGTCAGACAGTGGAAGATGTTGATGCTTCTGTCAGGAGAGATCTCGTCTAGGTTCATCTCCTTCAGGTTGTTGATGGCTCTCTGGATGATTCCTGGACTGTTTGTCTGACCCAGCAGGCCTCCTAAGAGTCTCTGGTTGGACTCCAGAGAGAGGCCATGAAGGAAGCGAACAAACAGGTCCAGGTGGCCATTTTTACTTTGGAGAGATTTCTCCATGGAACTCCTCAGGAAGTCCTCCAGTCCCTTTTTGTTCCTGCTGGTGTAACAGTGGAACATGTAGACTGCAGCCAGAAACTCCTGAACGCTCAGATGAACAAAGCAGTAGACTGTTTTCTGGAAGATCACACTCTCTCTTTTGAAGATCTCTGTACAAACTCCTGAGTACACCGAGGCCTCTGTGACATCAAGACCACACTGCTCCAGGTCTTCTTGGTAGAACATGATGTTTCCTTTCTCCAGCTGTTCAAACGCCAGCCTCCCCAGCTTCAGAAGAACCTTCCTGTCAGCCTCCGTCAGCTCCTGTGGACTCGTCTCATGTCCCTCATCGTACTTCTGCTTCTTCCTCTTTATCTGAACCAGCAGGAAGTGTGAGTACAGGTCAGTCAGGGTCTTGGGCAGCTCTCCTCTCTGCTCTGTAGTCAACATGTGCTCCAGAACTGTAGCAGTGATCCAGCAGAAGACTGGGATTAGACACATGATGTGGAGGCTCCTGGAGGTCTTGATGTGTGAGATGATTCTGCTGGACAGCTCTTCATCACTGAGTCTCCTCCTGAAGTACTCCTCCTTCTGGGCGTCATTGAAGCCTCGTATTTCTGTTACCCTGCCGACACACGAAGGAGGGATCCGATTGGCCGCCGCAGGTCGGGAAGTTATCCAGACGAGAGCCGAGGGAAGCAGATTCCCCTCGATGAGGTTTGTCAGCAGCAGGTTGACTGATGACTTCTGTGTGACATCAGACACAACCTCACTGTTGTGGAAATCCAATGAAAGTCTGCTTTCATCCAGGCCGTCAAAGATGAACAACAGTTTCCAGACGGCGAGCTTCTCTGCTGGGACCTTCTGTAATGTTGGATGGAAAACATGGAGCAGCGTGAGGAGACTGTGCCGCTCATCTTTGATCAAGTTCAGCTCCCTGAACGAGAGCAGAACCAGCAGACTGACATCTTGGTTTTCCGAGCCCTCTGCCCAGTCCAGAGTGAACTTCTGCACCGAGAAGGTTTTTCCAACGCCAGCGACGCCGTTGGTCAGAACCACTCTGATGGCTCTCTGTTGGCCAGGTAAGGCTTTAAAGATGTCCTGGCACCTGATTGGAGCGTCATGGAGGGTCTTCTTCTTGGAAGCTGTCTCAAGCTGCCTCACCTCATGCTGGGTATTAACCTCTTCACTCTGTCCCTCTGTGATGTAGAGCTCAGTGTAGATCCTGTTGAGGAGGGTTCCACTTCCTGTTTCATCACTTCCTTCAGTCACACGTTCACATCTCCTCCTCAGACTGATCTTATGTTCATCTAAAACCTCCTGCAGACTGCCATCCACTGTCACAGAAGAAAGAATCATTAGTAGGAATTATTCATTAGCACCAACATAAAAACAACCAGTAAGAAAAATGAATCCTATTGAAAATGTTTCTGATTGGCTGAGACAGCAACATTTTAAATGCTGCGAGGCAAAGAAAGCCAAGAATCCTGTTTTCAGACATGAGGACATCAGCAGACAGATGGACAGTCTTACTTTGTACGGAGCTGCTCTGATTGGCTGTCTGCAGTCCAGCTCTGGCTCTTTTTCCACACTGGGGACAGGAGGAGTGTCCTGATGAAGCAGACTGGTCCCAGTATGAGGTGATGCACCGTCTGCAGAACCAGTGTCCACAGCTGGTAGAGACTGGATCCTTCAGGACGTCCTGACACAAAGTACAGCAGGACGGCTGCTCCTCCACAGAAACATGACTCCTCTTCCTCTCTCTGTGAAGACATGTTGTCATGGTTTTGGCTTTGAGGGTTATTATTTCCTGTTTTATTATGTTAAATGCTTCCTCTTGTGTCTTTGCGTTTCCTGTTTTACAGGTATTTTCCTCTCATCTGGTTTTGGGTCACTTGGCTTCCCCCTTGTGTGACTGTCTGCTCCTCCCTGATTAAGTTCACCTGTGTCTCATTATCTTGTGCTCACTAGTATATTTAGTCTTGCATGTTCCTCAGTGTATTTTGTCTGCAGTTCAAGCCCTGTCCCTCGTGTTAGTTTCCTCCTGGACTATATATTTCCTTGTGCTGTTGAACTGCCTGTTTTTGGACTTTGGATTCTGATTCTTGCATGCTCCCTACTGGATCTGTTTGCTCCTTGGACTTCTTTCCTGCTTTTTGTTTTTATCTCTGTCAGTTTCTTGTCCCGGTTGACATTATTAAATCTCTGAACAGTACATACTCTGCCTCTGTTGTCTGTATTTGGGCCCAATCTCCTGTGTTCCTGCTCCCTTATTATACATTTCTTTAGAACTAAAACGATTTGTTGCTTGTTGTTGTAAATATCCAGATCTGGCTGACACTGTGTAGAAGCTCAGATGGCCACAGAGAACAGGAAAAGTGTTGTTACTTTTCTGCTTGAATTCAGCTTTCAGTCAGTAATGAAGATGATTGTTCTTTATTTCAGCTCTCCTGATTTCAGAAACACTAATTAACAGCTTTTCCTGTCTTTTCCACTTACTAATGATTCAAAGCAAAGTGTTCATCAAGGTGAGCAAAGCTGAACTACAAATGCTTTTTCACCACATGTTGCACAATTATGATCTGAAGTGATTCAAGATGCATCTGGTGGATCAGAACAGCTGATCTGAGGAAGAGCCAAACAGCTCAGTGTTTAGAGGACAAATAGGAGAAAATGACCCATTTGAAGCAGATTCTTTCAGATTCTGAATCGTTCTAAATCTTTACAGCGACGTCAACGTGAGGGCAAAAATATAGGAACATTTTCTTGAAGTCTAAATTCTGAAATGGAGGTTCAGGTGTTCCATCTTAATTTGAAACAGTATCTGCACTAACAGTTCTTTTAGCACAACATTTTGTCTTCATCCTCAATGCATCATCTTCCTTCAGGTCAGTTTACAGTAAAAACAGTTTCTTACTTTGTGTCTGAGGGTCCAGGTTCAGGACTGAAGTCTGGAGGATTTCTTCCTTTGGACCAGTCACTCTTCATAGACAGACAGCTGGATCCTGTGTCTGAGGGTCCAGGTTCAAGACTGAAGTCTGGAGGATTTCTTCCTTTGGACCAGTCACTCTTCATAGACATACAGCTGGATCCTGTGTCTGAGGGTCCAGGTTCAGGACTGAAGTCTGGAGGATTTCTTCCTTTGGACCAGTCACTCTTCATAGACAGACAGCTGGATCCTGTGTCTGAGGGTCCAGGTTCAGGACTGAAGTCTGGAGGATTTCTTCCTTTGGACCAGTCACTCTTCATAGACAGACAGCTGGATCCTGTGTCTGAGGGTCCAGGTTCAAGACTGAAGTCTGGAGGATTTCTTCCTTTGGACCAGTCACTCTTCATAGACAGACAGCTGGATCCTGCAGACTCTGCTCTGTCCTCCTCTTCCATCTTCTGGACTTCAGTTCAGGTGTTCTTGTTGTTACAGCTCAGCTGGTGTGTTGTCTGTGTGTGACAGGTAGGAAATAGAGCCAGTAAATCTGAAACATGTTGTCCAGCTTTATATTGTACAGCTACAGTAACGCAGTTCACTCACATTTTACATGTACTGGATAGTGCAGCTAACAGTGTCTCCACTCTGTGTTCCAGCTGGGCAACAACACCTCAGCCTGTCTCCCTATAGGCTGTATGTAAGTACAAACACATTAAACACCATGAGGACACAAAGCAGACAACATGAACATCTGGACCATTTACTGACATCTGCAGTGTTTTTACCATCGATACAGTCGATCACTCCCATAGTCCTCACTTTGGACTAATGAGCAGTTTGGAGAAATCCCTGTGAATCAGTTTGGTACATTTGGATATAAAGTAACAGATTCAATCAATAAGTCGTAAACGCAACATGTTTAAAACACAAACGACAACACCGAAAACACATACTGCAGAAATATTCAATAACTCAGATACAGTATAGTGTTCCCAAAGTCACATTACACATTAATGATATACTGCTGGTTATACTAAAACATTTAGTTTGGAAAAAGGGTTTTGCATAATTTTAGGTAGGCCTATTTTTAATATTCAATATCTACACTGATAAGTTGTCATGTCTACAAAATCACCCCACACATCAGCGGTATCCTGCTGGTGATACTACAACACTCAGTTCGTAGAAATGTAGATTTGGGGAATTTAATATTCAATAACTTTACTGTTAGAAGCTTTAGTGTCTCCAAAATCACCTCATTGAACAATGGTCTAGTAGTATCATCAACATAAGACCATTGTTGATTGAGGTGTCTGGAGACAGTACAGCAGGGCTATTTAATTAAAGTTCAAAGAGGTCCAGTTAGAGAAAATTTCAGAAAGCAAAAGGTCCAGAACATCAACTTGTGTTATCATTCAGTAGCCTACCATAACGTATAGCCTAGTTGTACCAACATAAGTTTTTACTCAACAACTGTCAGCTTTCACATAAAACTGAAGGGATAATAAATAACTACTCTAATAATAAATTCTAAGTTTAAGTAATCTAAAGGATTTAAAAAACGTTTTTGTAAATGTGCATCTTAAAATAAATTTTATTTGTAAAAAAGTGTAGCTTTGAGTGATTGATGTTCAGTCTCAACCAATTTTATAATAAACACTCAACACATCTTAACAAATGAACAGCTTTAATACCACCTTCTCTTTCAGTCCCTCTTATATAGCTACTAGGGCAGGGCAATAAAACAATAATGATAAATCTCGCAATAATTTTCCTCAATAACAATATAACAAATGTTCAATATATTTTCAGTGTTTGATTGAATTAATTTGAATCATGAACAAATTAGCACTTGATTTTTTTTAATTAATATTTATTTTGTTGAAGAAAAGTGTTTGTCACATTCTGACCATACAGAAAAGTTTAACCATCTGATTTCTTCAATTTTCACTCAGGAGCAAAAATCAGCCTTTAAACTTGAAAGAAATATTGATTTGACATTTATCGTGATAATTATTGATATCTAATGGTATGAAATTTTTTATCATGATAACATTTTTGGCCATATCGTCCAGCCCTAATAGCTACCACTTCCCTACTTTCTCTTGTTCAGGGAGAAGCGTGAGCTCTGGCTACGATTGGAGATCTGTGAGATATTCTGGTTTGGAACTGCCCGTGGGGAAGAATATACATGTGAGAATCTGTACATTCTTAGTTAAAAGCCATGTGAAGTCTCTTTTCTCTTTAGTCTCCTCTCTTCCTCTGTGTATCTCACTGGCAGACTTGACTCACAATATCAGAATGCACCGATTTGACTGGCTGAGCAGCATCACATGAGATGATTAGAGAGTTTCCTGTTAGTTTCCTTCGTATATCATTAATGTGTAAGGTGATTTTGGGAACACTACACTGTGTCTGAGTGAAGTTATTGAATATCTCTGCAGAATGCGTTTTCGGTGTTGCACTTTGCAGACGGTCCCTGCGCAGTGCGCACTCGCCTCAGAGCGGCTGCACGTAGAGACCAAAGTTATTTGTGCCGCTCGTAGGACGACTCATTTAGGTAAAAAATTTACTTGTAGCTTGTTGTCTACATAACTCCAATAGTTAGGAGGCCTCGTTTGTGTTTTAAACACGTTGCGCTTACGAGTGATTGATCCTGGAAGTTCGAATCTGTGAATAGGCCTATATTTCCAACTTTACCGAACTCTGTGAGTGAGTTAACGCGCAGGAGAACGATGAACAAACTACATTCAGAAGCAGATATTTACAGAAATATACATTAGGTAGATAAACAAAGTGGTCTGAACGGATTTCCTGGTTAGCAGCTCAGAGATCCTCAAGCCACAACTGCAACACATCTGAGACTATCAGCTGTGGATTCAGCCACCAGGGACTCACCGGGACTCTGACATTTCTTTCCTCTACAGTCCACAGGGAGAAAACTGCCTCAGAGACTCTGACAGGAAAAGAATCTAAATGTTGGATTAACACTCACCCTGCCTCAGCCTTCAGTTTTCCTCCTGCTGTGTCCACTTAAAATGGAGTCTGAACTCTTTCAGCTTCAGGTTGAACAGGTAGGGCCTGTTCTCACCTGATCACCTGCTTAGTGTTGCTCCTCCCCTCTCCATTTACAGGAAACAGCTAAAGTGAAAACTGTCTGTCTTTAGTAACTGTTTAGCTTAATTTAAAATATGGCACATTATATAAACCCAGCTGGTGGAGACAGAGCAGCCCTCCTCTCTACCAGCAGAAGCAGAGGGAGGAAGAGGAGAAGAGGTGCTGAGTTGTTGATGTCAGGAATATGATTTATTTTACTGACAAGTCAGATTTGTTTCCAGTGAGACTTTAGTGACTTTGCTGTTGTAAATCGTGATGCTGCTCTAGAAACAATATTCAGTTAATAAAGAATGTTAAATTCTTTTTTAAATACATGCAGTTATTTAGTAAT